GGTTTTTTTAAATTGAAAGATGGTCAAATGAACAAGCTTTAAGATGATACCAATAATTCCACACGTGCAAAAATTGACGAGCACCCGATTCCAACTTGTCGTGACACACACACACACATAAAAATTTATTTAAAAAAAAAAAAAAAAAAAAAAAAAATATATATATATATATATATATATATATATATATATATATATAAAATACAGGGCAATGCCTAATGGTGAGAAGAAAGGTGTTAATATGAAGGGGACAGAATGTCCTAGCACTAGCAAGTAGTCCCAGGAAAATGTCAGCTAGGCTTCCACTTGACTTGACGTCTACTCTACATCAACAGAGATGTTTAGTTTTAGTAAGAGTTTTACGGCACTTGCAACACAATAAAAGGTCATATAAGTGCCGAATCAATAGAGATGATAAATTAATTATATATATATATTTATTTATATATACTTTATTTTTAAAAAACCCGAACTGTTTTACTTTCCTTTTTTTATTTTCCAAACTGTTTTAGCAAAAGTTCGGTATAACAACCACAGGTCAAAGGTCCCACAGGCGGTACCGTTCACTCTCTGACTGAAGCCTCAAGCCCCATTCAGCATGACTTGTCATCCACAGCACAAAATGTTTTTCTATCTGTACAGAACAAATACTTTAATGAAATCATCTAATTACTCACATTTCGATTTTGTTGTGACCGTTTGTGAATTTTTATTGCATTGTCTATTTTTAGTGAATGCATTTCCAACCTCACTGCGAGACTGTTTTTCTCATATAAATTTTTACATGTATAAATAGATATTAAATATATGTAAAATACTTTATTTTATGTACATGTATGTCAATTAATTTTTAAGATGTGATGTCTTTTCCGATGAAATGCACATTGAGCATTTTTTTTAGAAAATGGAAATGCGCAATATAGCCTTAATGCTATTTATTATTATTATTATTATTATTATTATTATTATCATTATTTTCACTCTGTTGGGCCAGACTCAGCTAAGATGTTCCAAATCCTGGGTCCCAATGAAGAGAGCACGTTTATACAGTCTCTATTGTGCATTCCTCTCTGTAAGTTCACTTCAAAGGCACACAGGTCAAAGCAGAGACTAAAACTATATTCTAAAATAGGAAAAATCATAGCACAAGATAAGGTATCTCGGCTCTATACAAGGACAACAAGATAAGGTATCTCGGCTCTCTACAAGGACAACAAGATAAGGTATCTCGGCTCTATACAAGGACAACTATGAGGAGTTCACTGAAAAAACAGGGATAGTCATAAACTGAAAATGGTGAGGGTATCAATTTTGAACACTAGTCGACTCATAACTGTACTTCTGCTCAACTGCACGATGCTGGTTGATTATTGTTGTTAGATTTCCCATCCAACAAACATAAAATAAACCACCAGTCAAACAAATGTGAAGTTATGAGTCCACAAAGTTTTAAAATTGACACCCTCACAATTTCCAGATTGTGACGATGCTCGTCTTTCAGTGGACTCCTCATGTAGAGCTATATTTTAATAGTGAAAGCTAGGACCTACGGCATACAAAAAGTGTGACTTTAGTTCATTCGGTGAAGTCTGAGCTGGGAACCCAGTGAGAGTGCATGACAAGCCCCTACTCACCGCAAACCACACAACAATGGCGCGCTACCCAGTTAGTCATTTCAGCGATCCGGATATCTGAAAATTCAGTCGGGTGAGAGAGTCACATGATAGACAGTCACACACATACACACGGGTACTGGCAGTTTAGTTTGAGTTTAGTAGTAAAGTTTTAACGGCGCTCGCAACTTCATAAGGTCGAGGATAAAGAAAGAACATTAACTGTCATTAACACTGCGGTATCTCGAGCGAGAGAGAGAAGAAGAAGAAAGAAGATAAACTCCACCCTTTCTCCTACATTACAACATTTTATGAACAAAAGAGTAAAAATTCTAAGATAACTAACGATACATGTAGCAGCAGCTTAAGCAGATTACACACATAAAAAAGGGGAGATAATGAGCCAAGCTTTACTCTGAGCCAGCACTGTTGTCATCGACTGTTTCCTGACTCAGTTTTTTGCTTTAGAAAGGATTTATTGCAATTGCGAAAGGTCATATGAGAGTCAAGGGGTGGATGTCAACAGAAAAGTCCTTACAGGGAATCAGACTTACTCTGCTCACCTCTCTAACCTCAACAGCACAAAGTCTGCTTCGACTATCAAGGCACCCGGGAAATAGCGGGTCACAAGAGAATGACAAACATACAAAAGAAGTAGAGGAAAAATGACGATAGTAAGGAAGAGGAAAGAAAAAGCAGCAGTCCCCCCTATGTTGTTCTGGCACAGTATGAGCATGACATTGATAAATCAGCCCATTTACAATTCTGCTGTGCATAAGAACATGTTAATGTCCCCCCTTTGGGAATGCTTCCTGACTCATCAAATGAAACAACTACTACAACGCCACTAAAAAGCATAAAAGCAGTTTACTTAGCTTTCTTCTGCTGGGAGGATAACTATAAAAATTAATTAGTATTTTGTCTAAAATACAAGTCAATAAAAAACAAAAGCATACAGGTGGATAACTGATTGGCACACATAAAGTCACGACACAGACAAAAGTCTAAGAAAAGACTTACAACAATTTGTAATTTAATTAACACAGGAAGCTGCTATATTTTCGGCCGCTATATATGTGTCATGACGTGGTGGAATCAGGCGCTCGTTAATTTTTCGGCATACATATTTAAAGCTTGTTCATTTGTCTTGCTTTCAGTGTAAAAAGTACCCATCCATCTTCAATAAAAATTTGACATATTTGCGATTGGAGGAAGTCGTTTGATGAACGGACTCAAAAGAATCGATCGTCAAGTCATAGTGGGAACATTGCGCACTGCTTGTGAACGGAAACCTTACTTGTTTACAATGGCGTCTTAGTTAGAAGACGGATTTTCCCAAGATTAGATCTAAACGAAACTGATGAAAAACTGAAAATAAAACAACAGCGACTTCAGACTCCTTGATATAACTGTGCACCCTTTAAACGATTCTGAACCACCGTTAATGTTTTCAAATTCGTAAGTTTAGTGGATCCGAAGTTTTAGGAGACCCAAGTGACGAACTTTCACAATTATAATATAAATAGATTTCTTCAATCGGCATTCATTTTTGAATGTGCTTGTCACTGTCCATTGTGAAAAGAAATTATTTGCAAAGTTCAAATTACAGAGCCATTTTTATGCAATCAGCTGATCTTAGAAATCGTTACCGATAGGCCACAAACACAAAAATAACGCTCCAATGAAAACTGACGATTTTCATTCAAACTATAAACAAACCAACTGAACAGACCAGCCCCCCCCCCTTCTTCTTACACTTTTCTTACACTAACACAAATCCCCCCCCCCCCCCCCCCCCCGGGGAGAAAAGTATCATGTTCTTCTCAACAGTTGGAAATTAATCACTGAAGTGAAGTCTGAGTCAGTGGAACCAACAGTCATCAATGTACTCAGAAAATTGAAGCATTAGACCGCAGTCATTTGGTTAAGCAAAAAGCGTTACGTAGGGGCTTTCGTTTTGCTTCAACTGTTGTCCTACGTCATTGTTGCCAATGGAAACAGATTGGCTTATGTATTTCCGTATATATACAAAAAAAAAAAAAATCTAAATTCTCTTTAAAAAGTTCCACGATAACAAAATAAGCCATCTTCTAGTCATGACCCTAATAACTTTCGCATGTTTCAAAATATTGCCTAAAATAGCAGTAGCAGGCACCGTTAAATAAAACCACACGAAAAACAATGACCGAGCCATTCATTCCCCCACGGAAATCGCGTATTCTGATTCAACCTGCGACGTACGGAGTTATCGCTCCTTGCCTAATGAAATGAGTTCACTTAGACATCATAATATATTCACTTGCAATTTGACCTGAAGATATTCCATCTTCTCCATCTACCATGTCTAAGTTTCTGTTTCAGTTTCTGTGTCAGTCTTTTCAGCTGGGTTTTCTTTTCTGTTCTTTGATTAGTTCAGAGTACAACACTGTTATAACAGATATACAATTTATGGCACAGGTAATCCTTGCACTTTCTTCTGAAAGCCTTTGTATGCTAATTACCGGGCAGATGTGTTGAATATGTAGATCGACTTAAAAATCCATAGCCCACTGTCAGATTTTAAATTTGTGGTTACATGAAAGTTTTAAGCTCTAGTATCCCTTTTCCCTCCCTCTCACAGTTCCCTTTCTTCCCCACCCAGCCCCACGATCCTGCCTTCTGGAAGTTCTTCAAAAGATTTGTTGTCAGTTTCTGACTGAAGTTGCGTACAGAGGTTACAAATATGTTTGCTATTTAATTGAAAGGAGTTAAAGAAAAGCCCACTTGCAACAAGTATATCATTGTTGCTGGCCAATACAAATGAAGATGCTCTGCACTCTGCAAAAGTATAAAAATATCCATTATTGGTCAGTAGGCCTATAGCCTATGTCATGTGCAATGAGTAGGACTGATCACTAACCCGCCAAATTAATTTAAGCCAAATAAGATGAAGTTCATTTTGCAAGCAGCCCCACCCTTTCATCTAGTTTTCTTTCTGTATCAATTGCCCTTGCTAAACTTGCTTCAAATTCCATAACTCCATTCGTGGAGGTCAATTCTCCTTAACTTTAAACATTTCAAGTCATTTGAGTTAGACTTTAACTTTAGACTTAATTCGTTCTAAATAAACTAAAAAAACGTAGATCTAGTGCAAGGCCTAGATCTATATGACTTTGGCATAGACCTAATTTGTTTATTCCTGAAAGCACAAATTAATCCTAGTGGTTTAAGCGAGAAATGGAACATACAAAATACGACAACACGTAAACATGGCCCGCAGTTTCCTCGTAGGAACCTGTTCAGTGTTTGTATTGTGTGTGAACATGCGTCGGCGACACTAAACACGTCGTAGTTTCAGTTTGCCTTCAAAACCGAATTAAAAGGTTAAAGAGTTGCTTTGACAATCACCTGTACAGTTGAGGATCCATGTGTCAATTTAAGATCAGGCTGACTCTCCAAAACCAAACGAAATATCCGTCATAGGAATCAAGAACAGGATAAATATTTACGCGTTGTCCCGCGCACTCAAGCACTTTATTATTCCTCCATTAACACTAGGGACGCCGGAAATGCTACCCAGAAGACATCGCGCGGTGGAGCGTGTTGCTATGGCAGTAAGCCCGAGACAGTTTACTCATCGCATTATAAAATAATAATAATAATAATAACATCATAATCTAATAAAGCAGAGATCAAAACGTTTTTAAGAATTATTATTACGTGATGAAATACTTTTGGGCATGGTAGAGTAGTTAATTTGTCTTACAATTTCTACTAGAAACTGTGCTTTGCAGTAAAACACACCAACGATTGCCTGGTCCAGCGTTTGTCTATTTTTTAAAACGAAAGCTTTATACTACATCATGTATTTATAAATATTCGTACAATAATAATATAGACAACTTAAAGGGGGGTCCGTTGCCAGAGATGCCTATAGGTTTGTAGCGGGAGGTGGGAACTTTGACATTTTTTTCATACAATAATGGAGTCTATATAATAT